TTTACCTGATTGAGCCTCTGCACATTACGTTTAGAAGTTGAACGCCTCAGCGCAAATTGTCTAAGGAGCCTCGTGTACCTGGGAGCCGATAAGTTCAACAGAGCGGTGACTCGGGCAAGGAAAAAAAAAACAGAGAATTCAGGAGAAAGGATCATGGCCCAGGCTCGAGTTGAACGAGCGATCCCCGCAGGAGGCTTGTGAAATATTATGCATAGCGGGTGCGGACCTTCCGCAACCAGGCCTTTCTTGGTCTGTTCGAACTTCTGCAGATTTGCCTCTAGAATTTGAAATGCTGAGTGAAGGAAAAGGCAATACCTAGCTTCGAGTTGAACTACTCGCCACAAGTCCCTCTGGGGAGCTTCGTTATCTGGCAATCTATCAGTTCGATAGAGAAGAAGTTACTTGGCCAAAAAAAACCCAAAGGCAGACCAATGATGGCCCAGGCTCGAGTCGAACAAGCAATCCCGCACATAGATCCTGTATGCCGAGGCTATGCACAGCGCAAGCACAGCGGGTGCGGTCCGTCCGCGACCAGGCCTTTCTTTGGCTAGGTCATCCTACTTCAGATTTGCGTCTGAAAATTGAATGTTGAGTGGAGGAAATCAGGACTGCCGAAGTAGCCCAAGTGGAACCCCAAGCACAAATTTTTCAGGAAGCTTCGTGCACCTAACTTGGGACTCTATCAATGTTACATAACTGCAACTAAATCCAGTGCCAGTCAGTGGAAGGGAAACTGTGAGGGGAATAAAGCACAACACCTGTATGTTGGCGTACTCGTGTAGCTGTGAGCTTATTTCTTCAATATTCAGAGATGAGGGATAAAAAAACGTGTCTCCGGACGACTTTGTATGGCCCAAGCTCGAGTCGAACGAGCCAATCCCGCGAAACTTCATCGCTACCACTCAATTGACGAAACGCGGGTGCGGACCGTCCGCAACCAGGCCTTTCTTCGGCTAGTTAAACCTCTGCGGATTTGCGTCTAGAATCTGAATGACGAGGGGAGGAAATCAGGACCGCCGCCGTGGCCCAGCAAAAATTCTCCACGGAGCTTCGTGTACCTAGGAACTTATGGGTTCAACGGAGATGTGGCTTGGGCTAAGCCAAAAAAAAAAGTACCTCAAGCGATCATGGCCCAGGCTCGAGTCGAACGAGCAACTCCCGCGTGCATTATGCCTCCAAGATTGAATCGCGGGTGCAGACCGTCCGCAACCAGACCTGTCCCTGCTACATTCGAACTTCATTCAGCTTACCCCCAAGGGGGACTTGAATATGATGGTCTTCGAGCCTCAAAATCTAGAATTCTTCCGTACATATGCGGCTGGTGCTTTCAAGTTTATAGGTACAAGTGCAATGCAATAAATACGCGTTCGGTTCGGTTCGGTCTAATCGAGGATGCGGGGTCTCAAGGAAGCAGACAAACTACTGCCTCCCGCGTGTCCACTCCGAGTCCTCCTTCGCCGGCTTCCCTTCGTCCGTGCCGCGCGAGTGTCTCCCCTCGACGGTGCGCTTCTGCAGGTCCTGCGGGGTGCCGTGCGCTTGGTCCGCCTATGTACACAACAACAGCGAGGTTCGTCAGCATTCAGCACTCGCACATCGCCGCAGACGCATGAAGAGGATAGAGAGGGAGAGGTGGGGAAGAAGGATAGGGAAGAAGGATGGAGAGCAAAAAATGGAGAGCAAAAGATGGAGAGTGAGAGAGGGAGGAACCGCACCTTCACAGCCGCCTCCGACGCGCTCGCAAGGGGCTCGTTCCACCCCGGCGCATGCGCGTGCGGCGTCTTGTCGCTGTCCTTGTGCTGCGTCCCCCTCCCCGACAGGCTGCGTTGTTTCTCTTGTTCGAGGGTCTGTCCGCGTCCGCGCGGTTGTCAGTGGTGTTTCTTCAGAAAAGGGAGAGAAAGAGGGAAGGAAAGGGGAACATCAGCAACTTTACAAGTGCGTCTTTTCGCCGCTTTTTCGTCTTTTCTAAGCCGGAAAAGACGAAAAGCTGAAAAATATGAACAGCTTTTTCTTCGCCCAGTCCAGTTACTTTTCTAAGCCAGAAAAGACGGAAAAGACGGAAAAGCTAGCGTCTAAGCCAACGAAAAGTGTTCAGATAAGAGATTAAAAGCTTTCAAAAGCACGCAAAAAGGATGGGCAAAAAACATATATTTTGGGTTCTACGGTACAGGACAAGTATAGCATGAGGAGGAAGAGATTTCAGCTACGGTTCACTACGGAGACATGACCAAGGGGAAGAGAATGTCAGGAAGGGAACAACGACGAATGATTCCACGACCTGGAGATAGAACATTCAGATGGTCATCCACTGCAGATGGCGTGTACATACCGGAGGACCATGGAGCCACAACGAGCTCGGGGACACAAGAGGAGGTGCCGGCTCGCACAGCGTCCAGAGCGACCAGTACGATAACGCTCGATGAGACTCATAGGATGGATTGCAAGGTTTGAGGCGCGCAAGGCTTGAGGTGTTGCAGGGCTTGAGGCGTCGCAGGGCTTGAGGCGTAGACTTGAGACAGAACTTTGAAGTCAGAAATGGAACCCGACTTGAGGAGTAGGGAGCTTGATGGTCTCGACGAAGGATACAGAACCCATGAGAACTTGAGGTATGGGAGCTTGAGGCATGGGGGTTTGAGGCTCGAAGGGGTGGAGGGAGAAGGCAGGGACAGACGGCGACGTTGGCTGGCGAGGGCCGGCCACGGAATGTGCGAGGCGACGGCAGGCAGCAGGCAGATAGATAACGAGCAGGCAGATAAACAGCGAGGCCGAGACCGCGCCCAGCGAAGGCCAGCAGGGTCCGGGACGTCTGCTGGGAGGCATGGAGATGAGGGGAGATGGGGGGGAAGAGAAGAAGGGCGACGACGTGGCACGATCAACGTTTGGTCCTGTTGTTGATGGGCTGTGCTCCCGAAAGTTCCGATGATTGCCGATCGGCAAACGACTTCAACGTTTTCGACTCGACACTGGTGAACAGTGAACACTGCAGTGATAAGTCGCTGGTTGGAGAAGGGCGTGCTCTTCAGTGTCCGACGATCTACCATCAAGTCAACAGTCGCGAAGGTCCGATCCGCCGCCGCGGTTGATGTTCAAGAATCAAGACAGGGATGGGGCTCGTTACTGGTCGTTTCAGTGTCAACAACACGTATCCATGGGCAGTTGTACTACACTTTTCAGGAAGAATCTCAAGCACAACAACTAATGCTAGCACTATCACATCACGAGAAGAAAAGTGGCCAAAAGCCAGAAGCTGAGAAAAGCGATTTGAAAAGCCGCGAAAAGACGACAAAAAAGTCGCGAAAAGGTGAAAGCTCAGAAAAGCTGCGGGAAGCGGGTAAAAAAGCACTTGCAGTTTTACTGATGAACCGCACCTCGGGGTCGTTATCGTGCATCGTGCTGAGGTGACTTGTCAGCGGACGAGAAAAGGAAGAGAAAAGGACTCAAAGGAAACGAAAGAAAGAGAAAGGTCAACGGAAAGAGAAGGAAAGGGAAAGGCGGGCGCAACGAACCTGGAGAATCTGACCGCCGCGTGGGCGGGTGTGTATACTTGGAGTCGTGTAGCTGCGCCGACGACGCGGAGGGCTGGGCGGGCGGCGATGAGGGAGTACATGGTGGGCGGAAGTAAGAGTGAAGAGTGGAAGGAAGAGGTGTGACAGTGACGGACGCCGGATCGAATCGCAGCGTGACTGGCTCGGCGATGAGGTCATCGGATGGTCATTTCCTGCGCTTGTCACGGGATCGTGTTCTCTGCCAGCTGGACGCGTCGCGTCCACAGGTGCTTGGAAGAAAACAAGTGCTGCGAAACTTGGTGTAGTCTGTAGATGGCTTCAGGGAAACCCTCAAAAGAGAGGCAACAAACGAGAACCTCCCTGAACATGACCCCGGCTCGGTTCGAACGAGCAACTCCAGCGCGAAATTTCTAAGTGCAGGTGCGCACTGCGGACTACGCACAACCGGGCCTCGTTCTCCCGCTTTTCTTATGGGCTATGTTTCAACTCTGCAGAGATGAAACGGGTTGGAAATGCACGTCCGGCGAAAAAATAAGTCCCGATACACACCAGAAGAACCTTTGGATGAGTTCTACACCACATGCTCGTTGCACATCGATTCTAACCTTGGCTGAACATGGCCAGAGGGCTGCTCGCCTTCGATGCAACGTATTATATTAATGGAGGGAAAAAAGGTTGGCTCTCAGAACATGGCTCGGGCAGTTGAACGAGCGACGTCTGCACAGAAACATCAGATTACAGTATGGAGTGCAGGTGCGGTCCATGTTGCTCAGTAGATGCAGAGTTTGGACTTAGATACAGCGACATTTATTTACAACCTGGGCGACCTGGTCAACATTGCAACCAAGTCCCGAACATAATCACAAAAAGGCGTCTCTCTTCCTATGCATGGCCCACGCTGGAGTCGAACCAGCGCATGCGGGAGTTTGAATTCCAGCGCATGCCCGCACAGAAATGAATTTGCCAACACATACCTTCGCATCGAGTGCGAGTGCGGACCATCCGCAACTGGGTCTGATTTTTGTCCCTTTGAAACTGGCAGTGACGCAACTTCCTTCAGAAGAAAAAAACGGATCATCGTTGGACAGCAGACCTGAATGAAACAGCATTTAATTTGTCGACGTCGCACCACCCGCAACCAAGCCTTATTCTCCTACTTAGGTAAACTAAGTAGCGCCACAAATAAAGCGACGACACAATTACAAAAAGATTCTCCCCGACATATGGCCCAGACTCGAGTCGAACGAGCGACGCCTGCAGTAAAGTTCTTGTCCAATATTTATACATTGCAGTGGCGAACCATCCGCAACCGGGTCTTTTTCTCGTACCTTCAAACCTGGGGAGATTCACGTTCGAAAGAAAAAGGAGGGTCAGTAGATACCGGTACTGTTGTTCAACCAAGGTTTCAAACGATGAAGCGTACAACGCACAGTGGGTATGGGCCCCGAACACACTTTAAACTTCTTCAATTCGGAACAAAGCGATGACCACTCTCTATGGCCCAGGCTCGAATCGAACAAGCGATGCCTGCAGTAAAGCTTCACTCACACCAAGATACCGCCAATACAATGCAGGTGCGGACCATCCGCAACTGGGCCTCTTCTCTTGACTGTAAGCCTAGACAGATTCAACCGTGGGAAGAAATTCTGCGTCGAGAAGTAAAAGAGGGTCATTGGACACGGGCAATGTTATTCAACCAGGGTTTCCGAATCGCTTTATCCCGGTGAACCTTCAACGCACAGTGGGCATGGCACACGGGCAAACTTAGTTAGAGGCCCAATAAAACTGAAAATAGAAGCCTTCGTACCGTTCTATGGCCCAGGCTCGAATCGAACAAGCGATGCCTGCAGTAAAGCTTCACGTCAGATTGTCTTATACAATGCAGGTGCGGACCATCCGCAACCGGGACCTATGACCCTGCCTTCAAAGCTGGGGAGACTCAACCGTGCACGAAATTCAGCGTCGAGAGAGAGAACGGGATCACAGTGTTTCCCGACATTTCACGATAGAGTGAACTGCGTCTCTCCCCAGGAGATTTGACGCAGGGTGACATTTTGAACGTTGAATAATTGAGCTCTCAACGACACAGTATCAGGTGCAACGCGCCTAATCGTGTAATTGAGCCTAACATTGGCTCGACTCGGATGTGCGTAAAATAAACAAAAAAAGAGAGATCACCCAACGAATATAGCCCAAACTCGAGCCGAACGAGCGTTAGTTTTCTCGCGTACCGGAGCAATTCATATTCACCATGAGATCCAACAAAAAGTACGGAAGCTTCGTGGCATTACCGAGGCTCGAGTCGAACGAGCGCTGTGGTAGCGTGTGTACGCATGTTTGCCATGGGTTTCCCCGGATTAGGCAGTAGCACGTGCATGTATCGCGGCATTCTGCCCTTGCTTTATCCCTTGCACTGCGCCATTGCGGGATCTGCTGTCATCCACTGCTAGAGGATCTGGGCTACCACAGCGCATCCCACACAAGTCAATATCATAGTTCAGGAAGAATACGGTGTGGGTGCGGACCTATGACGTTCACTTTGTACATTTAATATTTTCACACACACACACAAAATTTTACCGCTTTACACACACATTTGGGTTACTTTTGCTCCCACACACACATTTTTTTGCAACTTTCACTTGACTTTCACACACACATTTTGTGGGTTGCCTTTTACGGATGCTTGTGCCTGTATGCCAATCCTACCATCAAGCCGGCAACCTCGCGATCAACAAAGTTTGCCGCCGTACTCGAAGCGCCGTATCCCGCGCCGGGTGCAACGGCGTGGCAAGTCGACCTGTGCAGATGCACTGCACGTCGGACCAGGCCGTGGCAAAGCATTGGGATGTAGATGCTTTTTTGTTGAACAGAACCCTTGCCGAACCCGGAGGACGAGTTGCGCCGACAGTGAACACCGCCGGAGATCAATTCCTGAGCGTGTGGTGCGCTGCGGCGCATTTGCTGTCTCTCGTAGCATAGCGCATGCCTTTCCAGTTATGAAAACACCTGCCGATTAAATTTGTATGAAAAATGGACGCACCGTCGTGGGCTTGCATGGAATAAACATGTCGTCGGTTGAATTTGCGGGATCGCGGCAAACTCAGGGGATACGAGCGGGAAGGCGCTGATCGGTTGGGTCGCATCATGATCTTGTATATCTTCTATGTACGGTGAGGTTGTAAGGGGGCAGACTTGTCGGAAAGTTGAAAAGTTGAAAGAAAAAGAAGACCTCTGAATGGAGTGGGTTCAGTTGCGCGGATGACAGGACCGTTACGGTTCACGACTCAATCATCCAAAGCTAACCTATAGTTACGGGATTCATGAACTTGTTGTACAAGAACACTGGCCTTCAAAACCCCGGTCAAATCACATTAATATTTTTGAGTCTCGATGCAGCCAACTGAGATAGCCAGGGTCAGAGCACTGAAGATTGGGACTGGGGGGAAGGCACTACTTGTTGAGATCTTGACTGGGTCAGTACATTCAACCTTGTGAACACAACTCAGTTCACGATCAATCCGAGTTGAACGTTAACATGTTGCGTCCGTCACTTGGTTGCCTCCGGACTTCTGGAATAAAAGAAGAAGGACTTGCGGATTGAACGAGGCTGAACTGACATTAATTGCGTCAGAGGTAGTGTACGGTTTGACGAAGTGATATTGTAGATTCACAAGTACTCTTGACAGATAGTAATTGATTCCTAGCGTCGAATCAAATTGCGGACTCGAAGGAAGGTCACGCTGAATTAGGATCGGACAGTGTTTGCTAAACAGCCAAAGCAACGACCCCGTTTCAAGGTATCCATCTGGCGTCAAGAAATCGAGGAACTTGAGGACCGAGGTAAGTCATGCAAACTGTGAGTCAGTGACGTCCGAATCGGTCGATTTCGAAGCAGCGTGGGGGCAGGTATTCGAGCTCGGGACGAATGTTGTAATGTATCAAAGCTCGCACTTGGTTCGTACCTCCCCGGAGCAGCTCGACCGTGAGGGATTCATCGGGATTCGAAAGAGATTCAATTTGCAGCATTAAAATGCCGGGATGCCGGCTTGATGGTATGATACACATACAGGGACAAGCATCTGCAAAAGGCAACCCGCAAAATGTGTGTGTGAAAATTGCGAAGATTGTGTGTGCGAAACGGAAAAATTGTGCGTGTGTGAACAAATATTAAATGTACAAAGTGAACGTCATACGGACCATCCGCGATCGGGGCTTGATTGGGTCAATTTTGTTCTGGTGGTTTGGACAAGAAGACCGGCCGTTTGCGCGCGTACTGTTCATGGATGAGGGCTAGGTGCGCGAGAAAGTTCGGCAGATCTTGAGAATGCGGGACTTGCGCACCTCTGAATCGTTCTGCTCATCACGACAGATCCACACAAATCGTCAATATTAATCCAGTTTTGTCCGAGCCCACCCCAAAAAATATGATCCAGTCCAATTACGACCCAGCCTCGATTCGAACGAGCGCTCCTGCACAAATTGTTCAGTCAATTTATCAAATGCAGGCGCAGACCATCCGCCACCGGATCGTGTAGTCACTGTGTTCCGACCCCCAGTAGACACAGTGTAGACCGAGGCGCGTAGACTGAGGTAGACAGGGGGTAGACTGACCCCTATGTCTACCTCGGTTTCTGTGGTCTGTCTACCTCGGTCTACAGGGGTAGACCGACGTAGACATACCCTCGAACCACGTAGACCGAGGGATAGACTGCAATTTTCAACATGCTCAATGAAAATTCCTGTATTTCTCAATCTTGGGCTATGGTCGGTCGACACATGTAGACAGAGGTAGACAAACGTACACAGAGGGGGGTAGCCGAACGTAGCCAAATGTAGCCAAACGTAGCCGAACATAGACCAACATTCGTCTACGACCCCCTGTAGACAGATGTAGCCAGACGTAGACCGAGGTAGCCGAACGTAGCCACAATGTAGACAAAGTCGGTCTACTGGGGGTCGGAACGCGGTGAGTATACGTGTTGTGAGCCATGGTCTGGGCATGAGTTTTTCGAAAGAAGGCTGGCGTGAAACGAAAAGTTCAACATGCACGGACCGAATAAATTGTGTGGAAGTCCAGTGCCGCTCCCAGGATGCCAGGGATAAGTAGACATCTAATCGACTTGCGCATGTTCAACTCAATCCGTAACACTGTACACCATATTCACGTTGGCCGAGTGTAATATCAAGGAAAATAACTATTTATCCTGTGAAGAGATTCTTTTTTTTTTTTTTTTTTTGGTTGAGACTATGGGCCACGCAGTCACACCAACATAACAGGTACATTTTTCCCCGTCCGTCATTACACGTGTTGTTTTGATCTGGGACCAGTCCTGGAATAGACCGCTCCATCGGGAAAGCAAGAAACCGACGGATTGGCTACCAAGGGCAGGAATGCTTTTACGCACACGATCCGGGCCGACGAGTCGGCCTAGAAAGTAGTGTGGGACTACACCGGACCGGTGACACCGGCCCGTACTACCCACTATAACCTCCCACGGCTACCGGAGTCAAACTCAACGGCGGGGACAGGGTTCGAACGGAGGCCACAATCTGCTGAAGTCAGATTACGTGGCCAAAAGAGAACTTGAAGTGACACTGCCGCTATGCCACGCCATCCCCTCTGTGAAGAGATTCAGCTTGATACGCATGGGAGAGAATTCGGGAATACGACCTACATCTGAGCAGCGACCCCTCATCATACTCCCAATCCCGATCGTATGTATACCCAAACGTAAAACGCCCAGCTGTCTCTCCCTGCTCGAAATCCAAACACGAAGATTCGACTCCACGCAAGACAGCGAATCTCTCCAGCTCCGCTGGCGAAAATCCTCGATCAGAAAGCGTGATATCGATGGTGGTGAGCGCGGAAAACTGGTTCTGGGATCCCGTTCGGCTTTCCAGCATCAACAACAATGTATCGGTGCTGAAGAGGTAGCTTCCCGTCAAGATGAAGGTGCACAGTTGGGGAAGGAGAGCGGGTTGCCCGGGGGCCGGAGTGAGCGCCTGGAGCAGAATATTGGTGACAGTGTTGGGAATGTTATCTGTCAATACCAGCGTCTCGAGGGTCGGGATTGCAGATAAAAGGGTAAGCAGGTCCCGCGCACGGATCCGAGTATCCTGCAGTACCAGTGCTTCTGGGCGACATCCAGAGGACTGCATGAGTTCTGGGATGCGGGGAGAATCCCATGCGCCGCACTTGACGAGGAAGAGTTCCTTCAATCGGGGGGTATCTGCGTAATTGAGAATCATCATTAGAAAGCTTTGTGCTCCGGGCCCAGATAGGACGGTCTTCTGCACGCTAAGAGTCAGTCGACTGGTGGGTGGACGAAACCAGGGGTCGAGGGAGACAGAAGTCCGAAGAATTATCTCCTGGAGCTCGCTTGCCACTGCGAAAATGGACAGAGGGGTGTAATGGCTAGGGGGGATGGATGCGTGGGTCAACTGGGCCCATGGAAGCGGAGGGAATTTCGCGGCGTGCTCTTCTTGGCGTAGACCTAGGGTCCGCAGTCGGGGAGTGTTCGCAAACACGTCGCACTCCCTCGAGTGCTGGTCGGGACCGTCCAAGAACACGATCGTTTGGAGCCCGAGTAATCGATTCAGCGCCGGGGCTAAGAAGGAAAGAAATTCCGACGACGAAGGGAGTGCGATATGACACCATCGCTCGGCATGCCCGACAAGTTCCCCCACAATTTCCTCCACGGACTTGACATGCCTCGGCTGGTCCGCTGGATCGACCTTACGGACCGGCCTCCAATGATGGAAGCGCACCGATAGGGGGGCACTTTTCGACCGTTCCAGACGCAGGCGTATCCACTCGAGAGAAGAATAGCGGCCATGCCCCAAGCTGACTTGGAACGAGGACCACAGTTGCGGTATCCCGAGCGCAACATCGCGCCAGTGGTGGCAGACGGCGGTGATGCCCTCTGTATCGTACTCTGTTACGACTTGAGGACCCATTTGCTCCAAGTCGTGCATGTCGGGATGCAGGAAGATCATTTGCAGGATATCGACAGGCAGCAGACGGATGGGTGCGAGGAGGGACGAGTAATCCGCTATGTATCGGCGCAAAGCGATCTGTGTATCGGAGTCGTCCAGAGCAGGCTGGCGAGCTTGCATTTCTGCGAGGAGCGATCTAGCCCTGGTTACAGAGGCGGCTATGGTCGTTCGCTCTTCGCCCAAAGGCGGAACATTGTATCGTAGAAGCTCGCACAACCGGGGTTGCGAAATCTGGAGTAGCTCGTCCATTGCTAAATCAAGAGGGAAATGAACTGTGACAGTGTCGAAGAGCAGGACGTACCGGCCGGTATCTTTTGCCTTGGAGATCGTCGTCAGAAGAAGGTGAAAGGAGATTGAAAGGAGAAGTCACTGTTGCTGAGGGGAATGATCGGATGAATTGATGTATGATGGTCGACATGATGTGCCATCAATCCCGCCGTCTTCTCTCCCCAAATGCCAAAGCAATCTACCCCCAGAGAGCGCACGACGGGAACTTCAAGTTCAACTTGTGGAAGGTTTGCTGAAACGAAAGAGGCGAAGCTGGTAACCACAACCTACGAAGCCTTTGGCAGCGGGAGTCTGGAGAATCTGGAGAATCTTTGTGGGCGTGGAGTCGCCATTTAACACTGGACTTGTGGATGCACAGATGAATTAAGAGCAGGATTTTCGAGTATACATATCTGCGGCCCCATACCCTACTAGACGCGAGCACATCATCCTCCACAGAAAAAGCCATCAGATAGAATCAGCCCGTCCCTATAATGTAACAAGGAGTGGCGCCGAACGGGCGATGTCAGCGCCGACCACACCGAGGCGGGTCGTGCTCATCTATCTGCGCCGCGAGTTATCGTCACAGGCTTTTTTGATTGTGGAAGAATCGAAGAAAAACGGGACACCGCCACGGCCCTTTTATAGCGGCTGGCTCGTGCACGGACCAGGCTGACGCGTCACGCTTTGATGGGTCGATTTCCGGGCTTTGTCGCATACACGTCGCATCCAAGCAACGTCCAAGCAGTCAAGCGCCAGATCCAAGCCAGATCTCACGCAGATCTCCAGGGCCTTCACTGGAGCCTTTGAAAAGCGGCATGTACCCGTTAGGAGCACGGATCTGCGGGCGGTAAACCAATGCGAGGCTTTCTTGTCAATTTTTTGTTCACCCTACATCCGATCCATCCTCACTGCAGCTCCTTGTAACTCTGCGCGGTACGAGCGTCTTCTGGACCCAAAAAACTCAGATCGATCCGGAAGTCCCCGCCAGAACGATGTTAACCGAGGAAGAACGAAAGGTAACGGAGATCGAAGACGACGAGATCTCATGATTCGGATACTACGATTCCGGACGTAACTCTTCTGTTCGTGTCGTCCGTTCAAACGTTGCACGGTGCCCCGGCGTTTCTTGGAACAACGAGGCAGCCAGGTTCAATCGTTCCAGGTCTGTCTCCTTCAGGGTCACTCTGGGCGACGTCTTTTTCTTTGCGGGGGAAGCATGGACTTGGTTCTTCGCGGTGTCGGGCGGTCTGGATTCTGGAATGTCGTTGAGACGCATGCGCAAGACGTGGAGAGCGAAGACAATTGTTCGCGGAAACTGCAAGGCGTCCCCTACGACGATGGTCAAAACCCGTAAAAAAACATGGAGCAGTCAGACTCCTTGTGTGTAGAATTCTCTATAACTAATCTGGTTTACTGACATGCAATGCTTCGTAGAATATTGTGTGATATGCAATGTGATATGCAATCATCCAGAATGACCTGGGGTCGGTGAGTTTGCCCTGGGACGTGCTTTAATTCTCGTTAACCCAAACTAAAGGAGTCCAAACGCGCGGTGTCCCAGTGCACGGTACGTTTCTCCAGGTACTCCGTTCGTTAACACCCAAGAGTAGCCTGTCCAAGCGCATGGCCCGCAACAGCGCTTTGAATTTCACCATCAAATTCAGTTCGGAGGCGCTCAAGCGCTGGACTTTTGTCATTGGCCCGAGCGCTCTCGACCATTTTTCTTTGTTTCGAAGCCACAACGCCGAATGGGACAAATACTTCCGTACCAATCCAAAATCAAGGGCGGAAACTTTCCTTTTGGGGGTTCTCGTCAGGCCACCGACGATGCCACCAACGCTCTGCATTGTCCAAGGTCTCGGCTAGCTTGCTTTGTTGCTTTGCTCGAGGACTATTTAATGCGCAGGCTTTCTGCTCGTTTCTCCATTCCCCCTCGCCCTCTGGTATTTTGTCTGTGACAATCCAACGACTCTCCCTCTAATTCCCCCAACGAAACTCTAATGTCCTGCACGTCCCTTCCCATCCTCCCTCTCGAGCAGGTCCTCGACGAGTCCATGTTCGATGACACCGTCCCCGACGACTGCATGGATGTGTCCGCCGATCCCATCATGGACCAGATCTACGTCGCTCTCTCAACCGCCGACCTCAGCTTCATCTCCCCGAACATCGATGCCTGCACATTCTCCTTTGAATCACGCCCCCCTTCGATGACCGCAGATGCCACCCACGACACGTACATGCCACCGGCGGACTACCTCCCCCA